TACAATTGGTTTTATAGGGTTATGCAATGCGATTGGCGGCAGTTTTATACTAAGCTCTACTTTTACTAGGAATACAGTATGTGCTGCTTCACAACAATGCCACTTTTATACTGTATGCCATATTGACTTGATTTTTTTTCGTATTTGGAAAATATTTCCTTTTCCCCATGTACAGGCGTATTTTTCTGACACCCTTGAAATGCACCAACAAAATCCCCCAATGATTCTATTCAAATCTTTCTGATTTTGGCTGACTTTAAATATTATGGTGCCACATTAGATACAAGGAAACAAATTATGATGGCACTGGTTGGATCACGGCAGTTGTTTTTACAGTACAACCCCCTACGGAGGTGGCTGTACATCCGTACGTGTGAATGATAAGTTAACATACACATTTTTGTCCTCCTACTTTGTAAATGAAAACCTCTGAGCTCGTTGCAACGAAGCGGTTGCAAATGCTCTAATCCCCCGAGGCCACCTCTGCTGGTCTGTGGCAGCTTTAGAATTCAGTTATTTATAGTAGTTGCGATGGTCCTCACACATGGCAATAAAAATGACAGGTGCAATGGACGACGTGTTATTTCGTTTTTCTGATAGCGGCGAAGCTTTCTCCTGCACTACAACTCACTACTGATACTTCTACTGTGTCTCATGAAGCAAAAAAAAAAAAAAAAGGATAAGAAAAAAAAAAACCCCAAAGAAAAGTATTAAACATTTATTAGTCAGGATGTTACGTGTCATCACCGACATGGCAGGAAGCAGACAGGTCCCAAACGTGGTACCACAGAGACTCTTTTCAGGTGCAGCAGGTTTACTCATAAGTGCACATTAACAAAAAACTACAAGGCATGGACTGCAGCAAGGCATGGACTTCTTTTTTTTTTTTTTTTGTAACATTAACTTCTCGGGACAACTTCTAGGAACAATCACACAGCACACAATCTGAACAGTACAATGATCCCATCAAGACTGAGTGAGGGAGAGAGGTACGTATATATACCCAGGGCACCAGGTGACATGAGTGAGAATAATCAGAGACTCACAGGTGAGGGTGATGACACTGATTAACCCCACACATCAGGAACCGGAAATAGACAGACCTAACACAGGAATTGTGGTAATATGATGGTTCTGCACATTTTCTCAATTCTGCAGTCATTGTGAAGCAACACTTGTGGATATTCTCAGTCATCCAGGTCATCAGAATAATCTCAAAAACAGTTTTAAAGTAGGCTACTAGATGTTTTCGCCTCTCATCCAAGAGGCTTCATCAGTTCTTTCATGATCTTTCCATTTTGACATCCATGTCAAAATGGATGTCAGGTTACACCAACGACCCCCACCCAGTGGACAGGGAGGGGGAACGATCTACCATAGGGGCAAGGAATCACATGATCACATATCAGTCATATTGTTCAGGCCCATGGCCACTTTACTCGACACCACACCCCCCTTTAGGGTGGATAGATAAATACCTGGAAACTCCCCATCTGGGAAAGTAGAACTGATGAAGCCTCTTGGATGAGAGGCGAAACGTCTTCAACTTGAGGTGAGGCCAGTTGCCTACTTTAAAACTACTTTTGAGAAGCAATATTTTGATTGATTTCACTCAAAGACAGAAAGACAAATTCCCATTAGAACCATTAAAATATATGCAAATTGAATTGATTGAAACCGGTCCAGGGATTCAGTGCCTTTCCTTAGGTCATTTGGTACCGGGCCGCAGTGGGCCGCAGTGAAAAAATGTACTTCAGTTTTACTAATTTACTTTACTCAAATAGAATCCAGTCTTATCCTTTTACTTTTTTCATGAAAAGATAATCTGGGAATGTTTCAAAATAACAGGTCATTCAGACTCTGATACTAACACAATAAACTATATTTTATTTTGAAAAATTTAAGGATTCTTCAGCTACAAGGATTAAAAAAACACTGTGCCTCATTTTGAAAATGGAAGGATTCTTCAACTACAAGGATTAAAAAAACACTGTGCCTGTTTTTATTCTTGAATAAATCCATATACACATGTAAGACACTGGTTTCACACTTACAATGGTGCCTACATACTACATGGTGTTTGAATCCATCTTTCATTTATTTTTAATTCATTTATATACTTATTCACTTGACTATTCATTAAATCACTGATTCATTTCAAAGGTTATTATGTAACCTGGAAT